TGAAACCCCATCTCTACTAAAATACAAAAAATTAGCTGGGATTACAGGCACGCGCCACCATGCCCAGCTAATTTTTTGTATTTTAGTAGAGATGGGGTTTCACCATGTTGACCAGGATGGTCTCGATCTCTTGACCTCGTGATCCACCCGCCTCAGCTTCCCAAAGTGCTGGGATTACAGGCTTGAGCCACCGCGCCCGGCCCACCCTCAAAATTATTAATAGTACCACCCATGTTGATAAGTTTGTTGTGACATTGTTCCATTGATATAATACTTTTGGAAAGAAAATATGTTTTCCAATATGCTAGAGTATTGTAATTACACACGTATCTTATAAACCAGTCATTCCACTATTAGAAATTTATCATGAGGCAGTCTTCTAAAATATTGGAGGGTAGGGGGCACCAGAGAAACACCAATGCTTCAGTATTGAAGCATTATATCTAAAAGGGGAAAACTCAAAAAAAAAAAAAAAGAATTGTCTAACAATTGGGAATTGGTTAAGTAAATTATGGTATAATAAATTAATAGAATATTCTGTAGAGATTAAAAATTAATGTCTAATGCTAACATGAAATATGTGAGACAGTGTTGAAAATATTTATAATATAATGTCACACGAAAAAACTCTTCTGTATACCCTAATTATAATTTCATATAATGTCTGCATGTGGATATGTTAGGGTCATGGGAGTAATTTTTCTTCCTTTCAAAAATGTTATTTTCAAATATATTTTCTTTAATGATGCTATTTGTATCTTAAAACCATTATATAAAAATAAATATACAAATAAGGATTCAATATCCTATCAGTAATGTAGTAGTAAATAAGAATTGTTCAGGCCTTATTATTTCTAAGAAGAGTGATAGTTTGTTAAATTCACCTACCTTGGTTTCAAGGAAGCCTGAAGCATAAAATGATATGCTGTATAACTAATGCAAAGAAAATCAGAACCTCAGAATTTTTTTTTAAATATATATTTTATTGCATTTTAAGTTCTGGGGTACATGTGAAGAACATGCTGGATTGTTGCATAGGTACATACATGTCAGTGTGGTTTGCTGCCTCCATCCTCTTAGAACCTCAGAATTTTTAAAGATACAGGCAGCCAGGTGCGGTGGCTCAAGCCTGTAATCCTAGCACTTTGGGAGGCTGAGGTAGGAGAATTGCTTGAGCCCTGTAGATTGAGGGTGCAGTGAGCCAAGATCGTGCCATTGCACTCCAGCCTGGGTGACAGAATAAAACCCTGTTTCAAAAAACAAAAACAAAAAAGATACCGGCAGATACTGTGATGTTACTCCCACTTCTCTAAAGACTATTTATTTATTCAGGAAATATTCATTGAGCATTGGTCACATGCCAGGCAGCATTTACAGCACTGGAAACACAGCGGTGAACAAAGCATATAGGATCCCTGCCCTCACTAAGCCGATATTCTCATGCAGACACAGACAGTAAACAGATAAGTAAATATATATACAATGGAATGTCCAGTCATGAAAACTATTAGGAAGGCAATAAAGTTGGGTAGGGAGACAGAGAGCAGCAGTGGTACTTTCTCAGATGGGGTGATCAAGGAAGACTTCTCTGAGGAGGCAACCTTGGAATGGAGAGCTAAGCAAAAAGGGGGAAGTCAGGCCGACTTCCAGTGGAAAATTATTCCAGGCAGAGGGAACAGCAAGTGCAGAGGCCTTGAGGGTGGGATGTGCTCAGCTTATCCAAGGAGGCTGGAGCTATGAGAACATGGAAGAGTTCATAGAAAATGAGATTCGAGAGGCAGTTAGAGGCTAGATTATGTAGGGCTTTGAGTACCACAGTCAGAATTTCGTGCTTTTGTTCCCAGGGTGAAGGGGCAGCTTGGAGTTATGATTAGGCCAAGACATGATCTAATTGAAGTTTTAAAAATATCGCTGTGGCTGCTATGTGTAGAAGAAATTATAGCAGATAAAGGATGGAACCATGAAGTCTACCAGGAGGCTACCCACAGAGTCAAGTGAGAGAGAAGGTGGCCTAGATGCCCAGGGGATTACAGCATTTCAAAGGGGCAGCCGGGAGGATGTCTGATGGGCGGATGTGGACTGTGAGAGGCAGGAGTCCAGGCTGACTCCCAGGGTAGAGAACTGGCCCTTGGAGAGCTTGACGGGGCCTCAGGAGGGGTGCTTTCTCTCAGTCCTGTGTCAGCATCATGCATTTCTGCCTGACTTGAGGGTCATTTATTTTTCACTAAATGATTTTAAAATCTCAAGTAAAAATTCAAAAGAAATAGAAGAATTTGGCCCCCGAATTTACTTAATCAAAGGACATATATGAATCCTTAAGATGGTGTTACCTCACTGCTAGATCTTTATACCTTTCGGAAATGCCTTTGAAAAAGTGAACGCTTAATCATCTCCATGTCTCTGTGTACCCATTTATTTGGCCTCAAATTGACCAGGCTATTATTTAGAGTAACAGGATAACAAAGAAAAAAAAAACCCTCTTGGCCTAACTGTATGACCCAAGGTTTAAAATTGTGGTTACTTGGAAAGCACCAACTCTGACTGTACATCTACTTTCAGAAGAGCTAAGAATTACATATTTAAACTTCCTGGAATTTCCCACATAACCCTCATGGTTGCATAGTATTTGATAGTTTGCAAAGCACTTTATTACAAAACGTGTTTTATAATCATTTAGATTTCCTTTAAAGGTAGGTAATACTGTTTTCATTAAATATTATAGATATAATAAGTTATCATACATCCTATCATATTATTACATACATTATATAAGGAATCTGAGTCTCAATGTACCTCAGTAACTTACCCAAGGTTATACCTCTAGTATATCCTTGAGTAAGTATATCCAGAGTTCAAATCTCCAGTTCCAGTGTTGCTTCATTGAATCATTTCATCAGCAAATATTTGTTGTCACCTTCTATGCGATAGGTCCTATGTATGAGGTATACAGTGATGCATTTAGTAGACATGATTTCTCCCAGGTGGAGCTGAGAGCCAAGCATTCTTTCTATTCCCCCCGCATATACAGAGGAGAATGCCTCACTGAAGAGGGAGAAAGAGCCACCTGGTTCAAAAGGAAGGGTGATCTCAAGGGAAGACAGGAGTTTCGCCTCAAGACCATTGTAATGTTTTTTTGTTTGTTTGTTTGTTTTTAAGGTGGGGTTTCACCATGATGGCCAGGCTGGTCTTGAACTCCTGACCTCAGGTGATCCACCCACCTCGGCCCCTCAAAGTGCTAGGATTACAGGCGTGAGCCACCGCATGCGGCCCTAATGGTTTTTAAGAGCCATCCTTTCCTCATGAATGCAGAAGGTAGCCAAATGGCACTAGCTTCCCTATCAGATCTTGTGAGAGCCCATCCTTTCTCAGCCCTTCAAATTAGTAGAGGGGACAGGAGGAAATCACGGTAAATGTGGAAGAAAAGAAAAAGAAAGATGAGACGCCACAAACAAAAGAAGGCAGGAAAACAGGCAGGCAGGCAGAAAGGCAGGCAAGACAGGCTGATAAAACGGAGAAAGAGAACAGGGAAAGAGATTAGGAGTCCCATTACTGATAAACCAGTCTTGTTTCTTCCCATTAGGGGATCTGTTTTACATGATAATTAATATCTAACTATATTTGATCATACAATTTATGGAGACTAAATGTAGTCAGATTCACTCAGTGGAAGCTAGGTAATACTACTACCGACAGCAACAATCCTAAACTTGTATTGAGTACTCATTTTCAGGAATTGTTCCAAGTGCTTTGCATATATTAACTGATTTAATCCTTATACCAGTCCCAGGACATAGGTTGCAATATTTTCCTGTTTTTACAGATGACGAAACAAGGCTTAGGGAAGTTAAGCAACTTGTGCAATTCACACAGGTAGTAAGCATTCGAGTCCAAAAATGAAGCCAGGTTGATCTGATTCTGAGTTGGTGCTCTGAACATCTATGCTGTGCTCACATTCTGTTGTTGTTGTTGTTGTTTTGAGACAGTCATTCTGTCACCCAGGCTGGAGTGCAATGGCTCACTGCAACCTCTGCCTCCCAGGTTCAAGTGATTCTCCTGCCTCAGCCTCCCAAGTAGCTGGGATTCTAGGCACCCGTCACTACGCCCTGCTAATTTTGTATATTTAGTAGAGATGGGGTTTCACCATCTTAGCCAGGCTGGTCTCAAACTCTTGACCTCAGGTGATCTGCCCACCTTGGCCTCCCAAAGCACTGGGATTACAGGGGTGAGCCACCATGCCTGGCACATACTGCATTCGTAATTCAAAGTTTTCATAAAGTCTCTGGGCATTTTTAAACTTTAATTAAATTATAGACTGTGTGTTTTATGATCAGTGATTTCTTGAGAGTTTTTTCAGGCAGGTAGAAAGTGAGAAACTGGTATTCTCATCTTAATATAGTTGAGAGTGCCTCCTCTACTCTTTCCTCTTCTTCTGGGCCACTGACTCTACTAGCATAAGCATGAGACTGTGCCATTTCCTCTGAAATGAATCATTCAAGAGTAAATTCATTCATTTGAGCAGATTTGTCAACATCACTATGAAAAGAAGGTAACAGCTTTCCCATGCCAGTTTGCACTGACAAAAAAGCTCTGCCTGTCATGCACAGAACCAATGTCTCATCTGAGCTGAAATGACATCTTAGAGTATTTGTTTCATTTCTACAACCTGAACTGTTCAGGTGTTTAAAAAAAAAAAAAAAAAAAGACCTTGGAAACATTAGAAAGGCTGAGTGTGTGCGTGTGTGGGCAATGTGTGTATTGTATCTACACCTGTTTACGTCTGTATCACCCTCCAAAAATGAGGGCACTGCGAGAAATTCTCAGAGACAATTCCATACTTTGCTAACAATGAGTTCCAGGAGTTCACAAATTTTATTGTGACGAAGTTAAATTTTTAAGTAACATGCATTCACCGTCTGTGTGTTCCAAGTTCTATGCTAGGCTTTGGGAATACAGTCCAAGCCCACATAGAGCCTGCAAACTAGTAGAGTATTTCTCTACAGGCTCATATGTGGTCTTCTGTGCTAGAGAACATTTATCTTCACCTGAAATGTACACAGTGCAGCTGAAATTTCCACCAGTCCTTCAGTATAGCCTCCCACAGCCAATCAGAAGGAAACATGACAAAACAGTTCACATGCTTCGCCCAGCCTCAGTCACGCTGAGTTAGAAAGAACTAAGTTCCAGGAACAAGATGATTGAGAAAGGGGAGTAGCTGCAGTAAGGTCTATCATGCAGGAAGACCTTGAACAAAATAAAAAAGGCATCAAGTAAAAGATCAATAAATTCGATTACGACAAAGTTGTAAACGTTTGTAATGACCAAAGGCATCGCTAGCTTTAAAGGATAATCAGCAAAATTAAAGATATCTGCCACATATATAAAAATAATTTGGCTCACACCTATAATCCCAGCACGTTGGGAGGCTGAGGGGAGGATCACGCAAGGTCAGGAGTTCGAGACCAGCCTGACCAACATGGTGAAATCACATTTCTACTAAAAATACAAAATTATCTGGATGTAGTGGCACATGCCTGTAATCCCAGCTACTTGGGAGGCTGAGGCAGGAGAATCGCTTGAACCCAGGAAGCAGAGGTTGCAGTGAGCTGAGATCACGCCATTGCACTCCAGCCTGGGCAACAAGAGTGAAACTCTCCCTCAAATAATTTAAATAATAATAATAATTTGTATCCATAATATTCAAAGAATTCCTACAAATCAATAAGAAAAAGACAATAGGAAAATGGGCAAAGGATGTAAACAGGCAATTCCCTGCGTAATACTTACGAATGATCCATTAATATATGAAAAGATGCTCAAAATGGAAAAACATATTTCACCTTACTAGAAATCAAGAAAATGAGAATTAGGCCGAGCATGGTGGCTCACGCCTGTAATCCTGGCACTTTGGGAGGCTGAGGCAGGCAGATCATGAGGTCTGGAGATCAAGACCATCCTGGCCAACATGGTGAAACTCCCGTCTCTACTAAAAATACAAAAAAATTAGCCAGGTGTGGCCGCACACACCTGCAATCCCAGCTACTTGGGAGGTTGAGGCAGGAGAATTGCTTGAACCCAGGAGGCAGAGATTGCAGTGAGCCAAGATCGCGCCACTGCACTACAGCCTGGGTGACAATGTGAGACTCCATCTCAAAAAAGAAAATGAGAATTAAAACAAGATAAACTCTATTCTTTTAGCCCAACAAATGAAGGAAATTATGACAAGTTGCAACAACCTAATGTTAGTCAGCTGGGGTGGGGGTAGTGTTGGATACTCTAACAACCTGCTGAGGGGAGTGTCACTTGCTAGACTTGGTAGACACACTCTGGAGGGCAAGGAACTAGTTAATTAAAAAATGTATATACACCATAACCCAGAATTTATAACCCAACATCCACCCTAGAAACATACACACATGCGCAAGGGAACATATATATAAAATGATAGCCAATAAAGCATTGTGTGTGATAGCAAACTCGAAATAACCTCAACAGCTATCAACTGGAAATGGCCAAATACTCTACAGTATTTACATACAAAGAATATACACAGCACTCTTAATAATACTATTTTAAATAGCTCTGAGTAAAAAAAAAAGTTGCAGAATTAGTGCCATATACTATTTTTACATATACACATGTAAACATATGTATGCAAAATGTATATTATATGTAAAAAATTTATGTGTATATGTAAAAAAGTATATGTGTTATATGTTTTATGTGTTATATGGTATAACGTGTGTTATGTAAAACATAAGCACACGTACATTTTACATAAAACTTTTTTTTACAAAAGTTTTTTTACAAAGAAGTATTGATTATTTTCTATGGGTATATATGTTTTGCATGCAAAATAATTGATAACAGTGGTTACCTCTTGGGAGAGGTGAAGGCCAGGAATTAGGGGTTTGAGAGAGGATCCATGGAGATTTAAGGGCTTTAAAAAATAATCATTAATTATATTGGGATATAAAGGAAAGCATATACATCCAGATGTGTCAGGCTTTTTACCAACATGTTTCAACAAAGGCCCCTACACAGTCTTGGCTTTTTGAGGCACTGTTAATAAAGTGAGTTTTTATTTGAAAATTCTTAGATAAAGGTTCTTGCTGGTGGTACAGTACATTATGTTTTAATCAACAAACCTCAACAGCCCAGAATTTGTTAGTAACAATTTGTTATATATTATCAATATCAATTTGTTATGTATTAGTAAACTGAAAAACATCAATTTGTAAGCAAGAACTTTAAAAAATGTACACCTGCCTTTTGCAACCTCATAAATACCTAAAAATAACAGCATCTAATAGCAACTCTTTCTGTACTGATTGTAGAAATGTCCTCACTATCTGTACCATCAGGACAACCTTACCAAAGCTAAGTACTAGATTACATGTGAGCACTGCTGATTCTGAAGCTGCATGAGAGAGGAGCTTTATTAGTGCCCAAGCCTCACCACTGTAATTTATACTGTTAAAAATAAAAACTGGAAACACAAGTGCTTTCCAACTATAAAATTCAAGTTCAAGCATTCATTGGAAATAAGCCAGAAGCTAGAATTTTATTTTAAAAATTAACTCAAACCACCCAAGGAAAATAGTATTCTTGGGTAAATGTTTTGTTGTTGTTTTAATTAGCAAGGACGTTCTCGATTTCTATTTCACAGTAAAGAACAATGAAGAATTTTCCATCACACATACCCAGCCTCCGTTTTGTCTTATCCATTCTCCTGTGTTATTCATTATGTACTCAGCAACAAAATACGAAATCTCCTTGTAAGTATCCACATCCGGGGCAATTTGCTCTCGTAGAAGTTTCTTGATGAGAATACCTTCAAATGCAAATATGGTTACAATTCTTCCCCAGTTAATAATGCCATCTTCAAATTCCGTTTCCATCACTTGACTGAATATCGTTCTGGCATTATCTATGGACACAATATTAACATTGTCCAAGCATGGCTTCAGACTCTTTTCAACTTCTTTTTGGACTGAGAATGCAACCTTTTGTAGCACTCTGGACGTTTTGCTTGGACCCGTTCCAGATTGTGGTATCTGCAGGACGTACCACAGATAGTCCTGAGTTAGATTGTGAATATATCCAAATTCACTGTCTGTCATCTTCTGCCTGGTGGAGAGCAAAGTCTTGAGCTGGCTCACCTTGAAGCTGTTGAGGCAATTTGACGAGAATGCTCACTGAGCTTGGCTGAGTTATGACACATGATGACACGTGGAGGATGGTGGAATTTCTGTTTGCATCACCTTGTAGTATCCTTCCTCCTGGTCACTTTCATGCGTAGGCTGTTTAATGTCGTGCATGAAAGAGAAAGTTTAAAATGTGAAAGAGGAAAATGTTTCGGAGAGGCCACTTCCTCATCCTGTGATTAATTCAGCTTTACAAGTCTTAAGTGCAGGGTGTGGAGAAATTAGAATCCTTGTACGTTGCAGGTGGGAATGTGAAATGGGGCAACCTCTATGAAAAGGTTGGCAACTTCTCAAAAAGTTAAATACAGAATTATCAAAAGACCCAGCAATTCCATTCATAGGTATATACCCCCAAAAGAAGTGAAAATAGATACTCAAATACTTACCTAGGAATGTACATGACAGCACTATTCACAATAGCCAAGAGGTGGACACAAATGTTGATCAACAGACAAATGGATAAGTAAATTATGGAACACTATGCATCCAAAAAAAGGAATGAAGCACTGATAACATGCTTCAACAGGAATGAACCTCAGAAACATTAGGCTAATAGAAGCCAAACAGAAAAGGTCATATATTATGTGATTCTATTTCTATGAAATATCCGGAATAGTTAAGGCCCTAGAGACAGAAAGCAAGATGGTGGTTGCCAGGGGCTGAGGATGAGGGAGACATAACTGCTCAGTGGGTACCAGGTTTTCTTTTGCATGATGAAAATGTTTTCAGCTAGACCAAGGTGGTAGTTGCAGAACGCTGCGAAGGCACTAAATGCCACTGAAATGGTTTTGTGAATTTCAAATTCAAGAAGTCTTAAATGCCGTCCAGGGGGTAAACCGGAGTAAGGATATTATGGGATGGAGACTACAGAACAGCCTGGGTGATGGAGAACAGGGCATCTTGAGGTGGCTCTGACAGTACCACCCTTGATCATTTGTAATTGAGTAAGGATGATACTGAGAGGGAAGAAGAAAATACTTTCTTTGGTCTTCACCTTTCACCTACTCTAGAATTTCTGATGGTAAACAAAGTCCTGGCTGGGCGCACTGGCTCACGCCTGTAATCCCAACACTTTGGGAGGCCGAGGCAGGAGGATCACCTGAGGCCAGGAGTCAAGTCCAGCCTGACCAACATGGTGAAACCCAGCCTCTACTAAAAGTACAAAGTTAGCCAGGCGTCATGTAGTCCCAGCTATTCGGGAGACTGAGACAGAAGAATCCTTGAACCCGGAGGTGGAGGTTGCAGTGAGCCGAGATCACGCCATTACCCTCCAGCCTGGGCAACAAGAGTGAAAAACCCTGTCAAAAAAAAAAAAAGAGAGAGAGAGAGGGGAGAGAGAGAGAGAGGAGAGGGAGAGGGAGAGAGAGAGAGAGGGAGGGAGAGAGAGAGAAGAAAAAAGAAAAGAGAAAAAATCCTGCTTTAAACCTGACTTAATTGATACTTTTAACCCAGGTAAACTATCCAATGTGTGGATTAGAAATTGCAGGACCAGAAAGAGCACCGGACCTACAGTCAGAGGACCTAGACTCAGTCTCAGCCAAATCCCTCTTTCTTTACTCAGTACGTGCCCTGGTCTGTGCTTAATTTGTAAAATGAGGCAACACATGTTGACCTCAGAGGGTTGAGGTGAAGTTCAAAGAGATGATCTACGTAAAGCCTCTATCACCATGCCTGGTAAAATGTAGGTGCCTAATCAAAGCTAGTTCCCCATTGTTCTTTCGTGGACTAATGAAGAATTTGGCCTCCCAAATTCTTTACCTAGCAAGGGGTACAACTTTGTAAGTGAAATGCAAATCTCATTTTATTTAGCTACGGCCGCAATTCTCAGAAAAGTTTTACAGTGGGTGGAAGAAAAAGGAGGCAATTCATGGTCCATGGAGAAATTGAATTTACTTTTTTTTCTATCCACACATGGAGTGACTTTGATTCTTTGTATCTTGTCTATGACCACCTGCAAACAGGAAAAAGGATTCATGTATAACTTGTATTTCTGAACTATCACCATAGGATTAAGTAGTAAAGGAGAGATGCTGCTTAGAATGCTCATTAATAGGGTGGCAGCCATGAAAATGCACCTTTCAGACCTCCTGTGGGAGTTGAATTGACCAAGGGCCCCAGCCAAGATGCCTTGAATCTGCCACATTTTTGCACTGAGGCCACACATCCTACAGGCTGTTCCCAGCCAATGACTAAGCAAAACAGGAACCTTAAGACCAGTTCCTGCAAGTCAACTTCCTTTGACAGGTAACTTTGGTTCAGTGACTCCCCATGGACTTTGCTGAAACTTCCTTCGACTCCACTGTCATGGGAGACTTCCTACCCCATATTCCTTCTTCCCTCCTCTGCAGAGGTCAGTCCTGCACTGTGTTCTGACAGCTCTGTAGTCTCTTCTGCCTCCCTTCCTCTTTTCCCTCACAGGAATTTACCCCAGTAAATCTGTTAAGACAGCTAACCCTTTTGTGGCATAGTTTTGGAGTATGCAGACTGAGAGGTATAGAACTGCAGAGAACAAAGGAGCATACAGATATATGGTCAAGCTACTTCTCCTCTGGGATTTCTCCTGGGAAAGTTCTCCCATGCCTCCTAAACTGTGCCTGTTGGCTCACAGGAGCATGAAGCCAAGAGCAGGCTGCCTTCCCTCCTTAAATCATCTTTGAGCATCATAAGAACCACGGAAAGGATGGGAAGATTGACTTTTCTCTCCCCCATTACATTTCCTTGGTGCTGAACATTTCTCTAAAAATAAAAGAAGTGGCCGGGCACAGTGGCTCATACCTGTAATCCCAGCACTTTGAGAAGCTGAGGCGGGTGGATCATTTGAGGTCAGGAATTCAAGACCAGCCTGGCCAGCATGGTGAAACCCTGTCTTTAATAAAAATACAAAAATTAGCCAGGCAGTAGTGGCGTGCACCTATAATCCCAGCTACTCAGGAGGCTGAGGCAGGAGAATCGCTTGAACCCAGGAGGTGGAAGTTGTGGTGGGCCAAGATCATGCCAATGCACTCTAGTCTGGGTGACAGAGTGAGACCCTGTCACAAAAAATAATAATAATAAATAGCAGTAATAATAGAAGCATGTGGTTTTAAAATTACAATTAAGCATTCTTGGCTGGATGCAGTGGCTCATGCCTGTAATCCCAACACTGAGAGGCCGAGGCAGGCAGATCACTTGAAGTCAGGAGATCGAGACCAGCCTGGCCAACATGGTAAAACCTCATCTCTACTTAAAAAAGAAGATACAAAAATTAGGCAATTATTTAGGCATTTGTTATACAGAACAAAGGAGCATACAGATATTCAACAAAGATCAACTACCTGCCTTCACTGGGTCCTGGGTTGGGCAATGGGTGGAGATAGAAAAAAGATAGACCCTGACCTCAGGATGCTTTTTTGTGTGTTTATTTTTGTTTTTTGTTTTCGCTTTTGTTACCCAGGCTGGAGTGCAATGGTGGGATCTCCACTTGCTGTAATCTCTGCCTCCCGAGTTCAAGTGATTCTCCTGCCTCAGCCTCCCAAGTAGCTGAGATTACAGGCACCCAAGACCACACATGGCTAATTTTTGTAGTTTTAGTAGAGACAGGGTTTCACCATGTTGGCCAGGCTGGTCTTGAACTTCTGACCTCAAGTGATCCGCCCTCCTCGGCCTCCCAAAGTGCTGGAATTACAGGCGTGAGCCACCGTACCTGGCTAGGGCTTTATATTTCTAGTCTTCCATATACAAAAAGGATTTGCTTTAAAAATTCTTACATATTGACCTGGTGCAGTGGCTCACGCCTGTAACCCCAGCACTTTGGGAGGCCGATGCGGGCAGATCACGAGGTCAGGAGATCGAAATCATCCAGGCCAACATGGTGAAACTCTGTCTCTACTAAAAATACAAAAAAATTAGCTGGGTGTGGTGGTGCGTGCCTGTAGCCCCAGCTACTCAGGAGGCTGAGGCAGGAGAATTGCTTGAACCCAGGTGGCAGAGATTGCAACAAGCTGAGATCGCACCATTGCACTCCAGCCTGGGCGACAGTGCAAGACTCCATCTGAAAAAAAAAAATTCTTACATATTGTGGGCAGTAAGGAGTTTGAGACCAGCCTGGCCAACATGGTGAAACTGCATCTCACTACAAAAATTAGCCGGACGTGGTGGTAGGCACCTATAATCCCAGCTACTCAGGAAGCTGAGGCAGAATTGCTTGAACCCAGGAGGCGGAGGTTTCAGTGAGCCGAGATCATGCGACTACATTCCAGCCTGTGCAACAAGAACAAAACTCCATCTCAAAAAAAATACATAAATAAAAATAATAAAAAATAAAGATTCTTACATACTGTGGCCTGTTTTAGTTACTTTTGGGGAGCTTCCCAATTATCACTTTTCAAGGATAGAGAGGAGAGAGAAGACACAGTTCTTTCCAAAAAAAGAAAATTCTTTCTTTTATATGAAATGCAAAAGGACTAGCATGGGGTGGCATAGAGGAAAGTGGGTCAGAGCTAAGTAGCTGACCGTGGACCAAGTGTGAAGACATGGGGGCTATCTTTCCTCAGTGCCACCACAATCTAAGTCTGCATTCAGCAGGGTCTAGCATGCAGACCCATGAAGACCAGCTGATGGTTCCCCATCCTCTGAGCTGCTCTGCTAACGTGTGGAATTTTGTATGAAATTAGGAGTCCACCCCAAATCCATTCTGAACAAGTCAACCAGAAGGTGCAGTGTCTGGAAACTGTATGTGTATCTAGTTATCCATAAACATACACTAAACTGCTACTATGTACCGGGGACTGTGTTAGACGCTGAAGATAAAAATTCTTGCCTTCAAAGGACTTTCAGTGTAGGAGGACCTATGCCATATTATAGGCAGTCAAAGGAACTGCATAAGGGAATAATTAAAGCAGGTCACTGCCCTGGCCCCAAATGCAGAGACCCTCCATGGAACCCTTGCTCAGGCCCTGGAGCCAGGTTTGCAGCCTTACAACTGGGAGGTTCTGGAAAATGCACATGTGACGCTGATCTATCGTAGGCAGAAAAGCCGGCTGGGAAAGAGGGTGATGATGGAAGATGATTGGCCAAATCTGTTCACACTCAACAAGCACTGACGGCCCAACCAAGGTTCTCTCTGTGCTGGCTTCATCTAGAAGCTTTTACTGAAGAAGTGAAAAGTCCTGGCTAGGACTGAGGAAACTCCTAGTGTTTTTTTATGAAAATAACAATATGAAGCATCCTAGTAACTAACAATTACTCCCATTTGTCAGGTGCTTTGGACTTCTTATCATATACATCTATGTGAACTACAACCTCATGAATATTCATTGTACTTACATAAATTGCCACATTTATACACATATGTTCCAGTTATCCATGGCTTTGGTAACTAAGTTCCTCAGAATTAGTGGCTTAAAACAGTCATCATGTATTTTGCTTATGAACCTAAACTTCGACAGGACTCAATAGGAATGAATGATTGGTCTCTGCTCCAGGATTTCTGGGGTTTAGCAGGAATGATCCAAACAGCTGGGGCTTGGCTCTCCTCTGACCAGGGAACAGAAGCAATGGCTGACACCCTAACCAGGTAAGTCTTGATGAGGAATAAGAGGGAAGAACCCTGAAGCCACCCTGGCTGATGAGTGCCCAGAGGATCCCAAGCTACAAGACAAGGTTTGTGACTTCCGGGAGAACTACTGAGGTCAACTTCTCCTTTCTCCAAAGGCGGAACCTGAAGTTGGCTGGGTTTTTGGCTGCTTCAGAGGAGGTGACTCATGGGAACTCGCACCCTTGTATGCTGTTTAGCTTCTCGGAGCTTATCATGGCTATTTCCCTATTCCAAGGCCTGGACCAGGGCAAATTGTAGGGGAGAGCGAGCTTCAGTAGTGACACAATTGTAACACAAAGGGGAGGGGGGAAAATAGGCAGAAGAAGCCACCTGCATGTCCTCCGGTTGTCCCCCTTGGGTCCTAGCCCAGAACACACAATGGAGGAAAGTCCCCCAGCCTATCAAGAAAAGCCAGAGGCCCAGTGTGACAAGGCTTCATTCAGTGGGTTTTCATCTGAGGAGCTGAATTTCCAGGAAATTCTACAAGCACAGGATCCATGTCAGCAGGATTTCCCTCTAATTTTCCGGTTATATTTGGGAACAAGGCTTAAGAGGGCTTGAAAGAGTGACTAGTTGTGAACCAAAAGAGCAGAGAGGCAGGGAGGGAAGTAAAGAAGTGTCACAAAGCCTGCCTAGTGGGGCAGAATGTTTAGACTGAGGTTGTAGAGAACACAAAGGAGACAGGAGGAAAGAGTGGGGGAAAGGAAGCCAGAGGGGAGGTAGAGTTACAGATGGTGCAACTGTCACCAAGTCACTAATTTGTCCTTCCCCATCCCCTCTGGCAGACTTGTGCATGCAGGTGTGTGATCAGCACAGCCTTGCCTTACCCTCTGGGAATCTGACTTTACTATCCACTGGTCCTTCCAGTAATCAGCTCAGGGTCCTCCAAAGGCTTCTCACTGCCCATGAAGAGGAGCTCAGATTCCTAAAAGGCTCTCCGTGCTCTGACTCAGCCTCCCAGGTCAACCCAATCTCACCCCACTCCAGTCTCTTGCCAGTGCCTTCCCTGACACCATCAATATTCTTCCTGTTGTCTCTAACTGAAATGGCTCTTGCCTTTCATTCCTGTGTCTTTAAACCTTCTCCATCTCCAAAGCCCAGTCAAATAAAGCCTTCTCTGTTCACCCTGGCCAAGAAAAAACCTCTTGATCTGTGTCCCCAAGGGATTTGTGCCTGTGTAATGGCAGGTCTCATGGTGTATTTTATACTGTAGGCATTATGCTGTTTTATACTCTTTCCTGGACTCCAGACTGGCAGCTCTCCTAGGAAGAGGGCTGTCTGATTTCTCGTTGATTCCCTCAGAAGGCATAGTGACTGCACTGCCATATGCTAAGCACATGATGAATGCTGACTGGATTCTATTATTAACATTGCCGGTAATGTTGAGTATTCCACAAATGCCCTGTTTCATAATCAGGCTGATACCGTAGCTGAAGCTAAATTAGTGTTTCTCTTCATTTTTACCCTGCAAAGCAAAAGCAAAATTTTCTTTTCTTTCCCTAAATGACATCTGGGGGGAAGTACAAGAGAAAAGCCTATTTGAATAGGACCTTTAAGTAATTTGAGCAGAAGGCCTTGGACTTTCCACTGCTCAGAATGGAACAGCAGAAGATTCAACACAAACCAAAGAAGCAGAAGTGACAGCAAGCAAAACTGGGCCCCTGGACGGCAGTTCTCTGGGAGAGTCAAGGCGTCAGAATGCACCAAAAAGCAAAGTGCAGCTGCTCACTCAGCCCGCTGCTCAGCCAACTTTACTGAGCACCACTGCATGTAACACCCTGCACTGGGCTCCAGGGATATATACACGGGGATTGCATTTTGCTCACGGGACAACGGCGGTGTCACATGTACCACCAGAAAATTCACCTGCAGAAGTATTAAGAGCCACAATACAAAATGACATGAAGTTCAGCCTAGGGGACAAGAGAGGCCTTGTAGATGAGGCTGACGTACAAACTGGGACTAATAGAATGCCGCTATGCAGGCGGCACAGCATCTGTGCAGGTGTGCAGGATCATGAACTCTGCTTCTAAGGAAGCTGAAATGTAGACTCTGGGGCTGTGGATAAGTTGTAAAAGGGGAGCAGAATTCCAGTTGTAGCAGCCTTCTGTACTGGATCAGAAGTTCAGAACTGACTTTGAAAACTAAAAGGAACTTTTGAAGGGTTTTAAGCAAGAGAGTCACATGGTTAGATCTGAATTTTAGGAAGCTTATTTAGACAATCCTATTTCTTTCTTTTCTTTTCTTTTGTTTTTTAAGACTGAGTCTCACTCTATCACCCAGCCTAAAGTGCAGTGGCGCCATCTCTGCTCACTGCAACCTCTGCCTCCTGGGTTCAAGCAATTCTTGTGCCTCAGCCTCCCAAGGAGCTTGGACTACAAGCATGCACAACCACGTAGGGCTCAGCTAGTTTTTGTATTTTCGGTCGCGACAAGGTTTCACCATGTTGTCCAGGCTGGTCTCGAACCCCTGACCTCAGGTGATCTGCCTGCCTCTGCCTCCCAAAGTGCTGGAATCACAGGCATGCGCCACCGTGCCCGGCCTGGACAGTCCTATTTCTAAACAAGTTCCCTTGTTTCTGGGGAAATTGGAATCAGGAATAGCAGAGATTATTTTGTAAAATCAATTTTATTGAGGTGTAATTTCCAAAAATAAAATCCACTCTCTTTAAGTCTATACTTTGATGACTTTGGGGGCATGGTATTTTGGTTTCTGTTTTGTTTTGGAGAATCAGGGCTTTGCCATGTTGCCCAGGCTGGTATCGAACTCCTGAACCAAAGGGATATACCCACCTTGGCCTTCCAGAGTGCTGGGATTACAGGCGCAAAGCGAGCCACTGTACTTGACCAGTGACTTTGATAAGTTTTGACAATTGTAAATACAAATGTATACATCCCTACCAAAATATAAAACATTCCTACCACCACAAAATGTGCCCTTATATCTTTATGCACCTTTGCAGACAATTTTTTTTTAGATGAAGTCTCGCTCTGTTGCCCAGGCTGAAGTGCAGTGGTGCAATCTCAGCTCACTGCAACCTCTGCCTCTGGGGCTCAAGTGATTCTCCTGCCTCAGCCCCCTAAGTAGTTGGGATTACAGGTACGCACCCCCATGCCTGGCTAATTTTTTTAATTTTTAGTAGAGACAGGGTTTCAGCATATAGGCCAGGCTGGTCTTGAACTCTGGTCCTCAGGTGTTCCACCCACCTCACCCTCCCAAAGTGCTGGGTTGACAGGCATGAGCCACCGCTCTGGGCTTGCAGTCAATTTCTTACCACCCTTGGCCGCAAGCAACCATTGATCTGCTTGTCATCACAATAGATTCATTTTTCCCTATCCTAGAATTTCATATGAATTGGCCAGGCACTGTGGCTCACACATGTAATCCCCGCACTTTGGGAGGCTGAGGTGGATGGGTTGCTTGGGGCCAGGAGTTCAAGACCAGCTTGGCCAACATGGTGAAATCCTGTCTCTACAAAAAATACAAAAATTAGCCGTGCATGGTGGCATGCGCCTGTAATCTCAGCTACTTGGGAGGCTGAGGCAGGAGGATCCCTTGAACCTGGAAGCAGAGGTTGCAGTGAGCTGAGATCACACCACTGCACTCGCCAGTCTCAAAAAAAAAGTATTTCATACAAGTAAAATCAACCACCATGTACTCTTTCTCTGTCTAGCTTCTTTTACTTAGCGTGATGATTTTGAGATTCATTGGTGTTGTTCAATACATCAGTAATCTGTTCTTTATAACTGAGTGATGTATTCCATTGTGTGAATATACCTCTATGTGTTTATCCATTCTCCTGTTGATGAACATTTGGGTTGTTTACAACTTTTGGCTGTTATGAATAAAGTGTCTGTGAACATTCACGTATGCATGTTTTATTTACACAACTATTCAATGTTGAAAGTGTGTCACAAGTATCAGTTGACATTGCTACAATAATGCTGCACAATAAACTTCCCCAAAACTCAGCGTCATACACCAATAATCATTCAGCATCCTGCCCACCAGCTTGCTGGATGGGCTGGGGCAATTCTGCTCCGAGCTGCAGGGCTGCGGGTTAGCGGGGCTTGCTGTGCTCCCCGTGGCGCTCATCCTGTGGGACTAGTGAGATACACTTTTCTCCATGGGATGTACTTTTCTCACGGGGATGGCAGAGGCACAAGCAACCCCAGCCACGGAAGCTCATTTCAGGCCTCTGCTTGTGCCACATCTGTTAACACATGCCTTGGACAAAGCAAATCACACGGCCGGTCCTCTAGAGGGAGGGCAGTGAGTATTTACTGAGTAATCCAAACTATTACACCAGCTGTAAAGGAAGTCCTGCCCTTGGTAAAGAAAAATTGATCTTTACTGATCTGCTATTGTAATGGACATGTATGGTCTGTCTACCCTGCAGGCTTCCTTTCTTTTAGAAACAACACTTCCCTTTTTTCTGAGAAATTTTCCACTCACTGACTCCACTCATAAGGTTTCAATTGTAAGTATCAAGTTTGCCACAAAACTTTTAACCCCCAGGTTATAGTATCTGACCCCACCAAAGCCAATTAGAGCCCTCCCTCAAGATTTGTAATTTTATTTTATTTATTTATTTTTGAGACAGTGTTTCACCCTGTCGCCAGGCAGGAGTGCAGTGGCACAATCTCAGCTTACTGCAATCTCTACCTCCCAGGTTCAAGCAATTCTCCTGCCCTAGCCCCCCGAGTAGCTGGGATTACAGGAGCACACCACCACACCCGGCTATTTTTTTTGTATTTTTTTAATAGAGAAGAGGTTTCACCATGGTCTTGATCTCCTGACCTTGTGATCCACCCGCCTCGGCCTCCCAAAGCGCTGGGATTATAGGCGTGAGCCACCGCGTCCTGCCCTAGATTTGTAATTTTAATAACACAGCAAAAACAATTCCATTATATCCAGCACGCACATTCTGGATATGAGGCCCAACAGCTTTAGTGGCTGTGTTTCTCACTTTGGGAAGGAAGTTGGTAAACATCTCTCCATTTTGTGTATTTTAAAAATTTTCCCTGATAAAGTTTTTATAAAATAGAAGTTCCGGCTGGGGGTGGTGGCTCACGCCTGTAATCTCAGCACTTTGGGAGGCCGAGGCGGGCAGATCACCTGAGGTCAGGAGTTCAAGACCAGCCTGGCCAACATGGTGAAACCCTGTCTTTATAAAAATAAAAATAAATAAATAAAATAAAATAGAAGTTCCATGGAATTTGAGTGTCTTTACAACCTTTGTTTTATGGTACTCTTGGGAGGCATCCATCCTGTTTAATTAAAGGTACCTTCCACAGGAAACTCCCTTCTTTTGTCATCTTTGGTATCCCCATCTCCATCTTCTACAACAGACAGCTTCAACAGCCACACCACTCCAGCATCAGAACAGTTTGGGGAGTTTCCAGAATCTTCTATTCCCACTTCCCATTTCTCAAATCACTTGACCTATCATATAAATAAAGTCAAAAGCCATAGACAAGAAACAGGAGAGGATTCATATTCTTGGCCAAGCTGGAGACATGAAGGAGGCCTCCAAGGCAAAGCCTCTCTGCCTAGAGCTGAGTCTCCAGCGTGGGTCTTTGTCCAGATACAGAGGAGTTCGTGGTCAGAGGTGGTTTCTCCCTGGTTCATTGCCAGCCTTGCGTTTGGTGGCACTTTGATCGCGTTGGAGAAGCGGGAGGGCTCAGTGTCGTGGTTTGGAGACTCCATGGACTGCGCACAAAGCATCTCCTCATGTCTCAGTTGCATGGACTGTTCATAGTGTGGGGTCCTGCTCAGGAGGTCTTCCCTTAACCTGAGGCAAAGTGGGTGGCTCCCACTTTCCCACCCAGCTGGGCTGGCCATCCTAAGGAAATGCAGCGACCCTTCCAATCCCAGGCACGCCCTGTCTAACAGAGGGGCTGTCATGACTCCAAACCGAGGGAGGGCAAAACCAGCCCACGTATCCTTTCTGTCCTGATTCCGTCTCTGCCAGCCAAGCCAGTCCCGGCTGCTGGCTCCTGCCCATAACAGGAGATCCTGTGTCTACCCTGAGGGGCTGCACTCCCCTCCACAGCCAGGCAAGTCTGCCTGGAAAGTTCCTTTCTTTTTTTTTTTTTCTTTGGAGACGGACTCTCAGTCTCAAACCAGGCTGGAGGGCAGTGATGCAATCTCGGCTTGCTGCAACCTCTGCCTCCCAGGTTCAAGCGATTCTCATGCCTCAGCTGCCCAAGTAGCTGGGATTACAGACAGGCACCGCCACACCCAGCTAATTTTTGTATTTTTAGTAAATTTTGTATTTTAGGGTTTTGCCACGTTTGCCAGGCTGGTCTCAAACTCCTGACCTCAAGTGATACCTACTCGCCTTGGCCTCCCAAAGTGCTGGGTTTACAGGCATGAGCCGCCCCACCCAGCCTGGAAGTTTGCTGTTCTAGCCACTCTGCAGATGGCACATGCAGGCTGACACATCTCTGGAGTCTAACAGTAACAGTTCAGGTTTTATCAGATTTTCCCTGTTGTGTGTTTCAAGCAAAAAATACCCAAGATTTTTTCTATGAATAACTCTGCTTTTTCTGTGGTCCAGTAAGAGGACACTGGGTGGGGGAGTTGGGGGAATGTCCCCATATAAACTGGATTCATTCATTATGTCTTCATTGAATATTTATTGAACTTCCGCTATATAGCTAGCATTGAGCTGGGTGCTGAAGATGGAGAAAAATCAGACAAGTCCTGCCCTCAAAGAGTTCCCCAGACTAGATTAAGTAGCAATAATACTTAATACTTATAAACAGAAAAAGTTATAAAATAAAATAGAAAGCAATGAGTGTAAAGGATCCGTTACTTCATCCTAAGTATGTAAGGTGATATAAGGACTTTTTTTTTTTTTTGAGATGGAGTCTCGCTCTGTCACCCAGTCCAGAGTGCAGTGGCATCATCTCGGCTCACTGCAACCTCCGCCTCCCGGATTCAAGCGATTCCGCTGCCTCAGCCTCCTGAGTAGTTGGGACTACAGGCACGCGCCACCACACCTGGCTAACTTTTTGTATTTTTTTTTAGTTTCACCATATTGGCCAGGCTGGTCTCGAACTCCTGACCTCATGATCTGCCTTGACCTCCCAAAGCAATGGGATTACAGGCAGGAGACACCGCACCCAGCCATAAGGATTTTTAAAAGGGAAAAATGAATATTTACTGAACA